CTGCCACAACCGAGAAGGTGTGTGTGTGTGTTTGGTTCGTACGCCTCCTCATGGTTGATTTGGAATCAAGGTTTTTGGTTAACTCCCCTACTACCAGTAGTCCACCAACTCAGACGTCTCGCCTTTTCGTCCTCTCACTTTGGTGGGAAAACACCGCCACAGGAAGGCTGTGAGTATGGCTTCCTCTGAAGAGATTATTTGAGGCGCTTGGTCGTTCGGGAACATTTCGCAAGGTGCAAGAGAAGATTGATCAGTCACAACCCCAGATACCCACCAAACTGAGTATTTCGAAGGCGCAATATATCTTGACTATGGGCTGTATGTCGTGTGAAGTGGCTTTCTAATCCCTAGGGGATAGGGTGTAAGACCTCTGATGAATGCTAAATTCATGCCACTTTCTTCATTCTTCCACGTTTTCAGTTATATAAGTGCAGACCGGAAGTATCGTTATTACGCTCAAAGTGACGTATCCACCCTCGTCAATCATCTCGAGTCGTATTTGGGTGCACCGCAGGCCGCCTCGGCAGCCACCCGTGACTTGGCTGGCACGAAACCGGGACTACATTTGATATTGTCTGTGGCGATGCCATCTGGTACCACGCCACCGAACTGCCCCGACCCGTTACGTTTTCACCTGCCCTCTGCCTGGTCTCCATTTACTCTGACCAATGTGGCTGTTGTTCCTCAATGGGGTGGTCTGTTCTTTGTGGACGCGCCTGATCCTTGTACCCGGGGGCCGTCCGATTCGACTGCCCCTGAGGACGTCAAACTCGCGCACCAGCTTATCAGTGTGATTCGCGTTCTGCTTGGTTTACCTGACCGGAAACCGGATTTACAAAATTTAGTTGAACTGCGCTCGACCGGGATTATCTCAACTCGTCGTAACTTTCATACACAAGTAAGTTTAAATCGTCACTTACTTTTTGTGGTATTGTTGACTTCTTGATCACGGAATTCACGAAATCACGTGAACTCAGATTCAAAGCCGAACGATGCATAGTAAGGAGACAATCTACTTCGTACTTTCATTAACAATTACCTGTCTCTGGCTTCTTTATTCTAATTCATTGCAGGGAAACTGTGCTTCAAACTATCAACTACTTACATGCTGCTCACTTCTCCGTTTGGTTTTAAGTAGCTTTCTCTCTACTAAAATTCAAAACATCTTTCGCACCAATAGTCGCTGCATAAACATGCCTGTCCTGATGTCACTCACTATGCCAAGTCTGATTGAATAATTACCCTTCTTGTGCAGTATTTTGTTTACTTCGTCCCCCTTCCCCTCATGTATACCTCTCGTTCTCACAGCTCGATGGATGGTTTCTGCGTCGAACTATCGAAAGCCTGTTGTCCATTAAAGTGACCATGACCTCCCTGGTCGATCTACTGTCCCGGTTCCCAAATATGGTCATCAACGATCATGTGGCTCACGAGGTCACCCGATCCACTCAGGTTTGGGCCCAGACACTAGACGCATTGGCAAACGCGCGGACCGGGCCGAATCACACCTCGATTCACTTTGGCACGGTGTTTCTTTCCGCACAGGACGCATTGGAATCGGTGAACAGTGCGTTTTTCGATCATTCCTTGCTCGGTCGATTGTATTTCCAGGTACGGGTGTTCTGTTCTACAGTGCCTGCTCGCGTGTATGTTGTATATTTATTGACGTTAATATTCACACGTGGGTGGTGCAATACCAAACCGATTGTTGGCAGTGAATGTAAGTGTTTTTTTTCGTGTTCGCACGGATCGATTTCAGTTCCTCTTCAGACTTCGTGATCTCACTACTTATGCAATGCCAATTGGATTTAGTTTTCTCAAGCCTGAGTTACCCTCGATTAATGTTGCGAATACCTTGTGGATATCAGCTATTGTTGTTGTTTGTATGGCGATTGTGAAAACTTCACTAGCCTCGGTGGGATTCGAACTCACGCATACAAACTTTAAATCTGCCAAACATCCAGTTGTTGTTGTTCGTTAATGAATTTCCCCCGAATTGAACTGGACGAATCTGAATTGAAGCATTAACCAGCCTTTTGCGTAATCGCAGTTACGTTTGTTCTTCTGTTCTGAAACAGAATTCCAGCAGCGGTTCCCATGATAAAGCATTACCTAAGTAGTCGGGTGGTGGTAACGTCACCAAATTATCACCCCGGGAGACGAGTGTTCGAATCCCACCACCACCGGCTGACTTTCCCCATTTGTGTGTTGTATGGCAGCCCTTTGATTGGCCGCTTCACCCTTCCTGAAAATTGTATCACTGTGTATTCATTGAAAGGAAGTAAAATGATAAAAAATCACACTGAGTTCGATGTCATACATTGCCTATTGTGGGCGAGGATATTAACTACTCACAACATTTCAGTAGCATAACATGGATAATTACCACACGGTTCGTTATTGTAACCGACCTGCACCTAGTCCTTCTGTATTGGAGCATTCCGTTCATGTTTGGATTTCCACATGCATAAAATTTTGTTATGAATTCTGCTTAATGTTTTTAATGCAGTAACGAACTGTACTACATTCTAGCAGCCCTATACTGACTGTATAAACAGCGCGTTTGAAGACTGTTATACTACTGTTTTCATGATTTTATTTGCAAAATCACTTGTTTGGACGCAGCTGTGATAAATGATGTCCCGCGTTCTATCCCCAGTTGGGTCTACGGATTCGCACCGTTGATGAGACCCAACCAGGTCGAAACAGATGTCCAGTGATTCTCAGCTCTTAGCTCACGTCTCATCTACACGACGAATTCATAATGTGCACGAAATGAGTATCGTTAATCATCGCGTTGACTTCGCAGTCTTAGGACCGACCAGGATAAAGATGCCTGTCGAGGCAAGCGATAGGCTGTAGTTCCAACTTTGATCAAATAGTTCAGAACCAAAAGTGGCACTGTACTCCAGTAAACTTTCACACAAATTCCGTACACTCTGCTCGTCCCAGCTATGAATAGCAAAGTTCGTACTCACTTGAATTTATATGCCACAGAGAAACCCAGTTTTGACTCCATCCTTACTGGTTTCCCTTTCACATCGCTCAACACCTGTCTAGGAGGACCAGAAATACGGGATCTATGTGCCCCTGTTCCTACCTATCGGGTTCGGCATCCTCAGTTCGACCAAGACGGCATTCCGGATCCTATTCCCACGGGAATCGTAGCGTTCATTTGATATCAGTTATGGCTGAACGTGATCGATGCAGCAACTAATTCCATATCGCTGTGATGTACCGTACGAATCCCCCCCTCCCCTTGTGCTTATCCGTCACCATAAATGACCGCTATTTTTAAATGTCATTCTTTATTTTTTGTCAGCTGTTCTCTCGCCTGCATAGCTTTTATAGTACTTCCCCCTTCGTTTTATCACTTTTGTTCGCGTCTTTTATATGTAATCCAGTTTCCTCTTTGATGACAAATAGATCTGTTGGCTGTGTAGATGATTTGACTTTTTGTGAACTCAGACCCGCAGCGCGCATGTTTAGGCACAATTTATTTTGACTAGCTCTGTTGGTTTTCTGCCACGTGTTTGGCCTTCACCAAATTCTGGAACCCAACTTCGTCATCATCTGCTAGAGCTTCTAACAGCTCTCTCTCGACTCAATCAAGCGAACTACATTCCTACAGTAACCTTTAATTGGTAGTGATATGGGAATTATTATTGATTGTAGACAATGGAGAGTTCGTATTCGAAAATAGGCTCGTTTTCTGGTCTTCCATATGACTACTGTTCGTCTCATGTTGCGCCAAATGTGGGTTGAGAGGAGCAGAAAAGGATGCATGTTAGAACGAGATGGCAACTACGGTAATTGACGGTGCACATGCTGTTAATGTGTGAACGAATAAACAAGAGTTAATGGGCAGGAGTTATGACTCTGTGGCTTCGGGAGAGTCATCCTTCTTCAAAATTGTTTTCCCGATGGAGATTGAAGACAGATAAATTGCAATCACGTTCACCGTTCAAACTGCCTGATTCACCTAGCTACGATGTTGCTGCCGAAGTACGATCATTCGACTTACACATATTGAAAGCCGGTGAATCGGTAAACAAACCTGCCCCTTCGCCAGTTCACCACTAAGGCGGTCCTTCAAATTTACCTGGTATTCAATTGATTGCTTTTCCCGGTGTAACAAGAATTGTACCTTGTCCGCAAACTGTCTCATCTGAGGGATTTAGACGGAGGTGTACAGCTGACCGCATAAGGTGCAGACATTAGTATTGCAAAAGTTTGGGTGCATTTTTCACACCGATTCTGTGAATTGGTTTGCTTATATCATAGTATTTCACACACGTCTGAATTCAGACTGTGTGCCAAACACATCACGCCACAAAATATAAAAAGAAAGGAGGTCCATGATTTGTTTGTGGACGGAATACTACCAGGTTGCCCCGACCAAAACAGGTGAATTTTTCAAGGAGTCCACAGCCGGAGTCTTCGGTTAGACAAAGCCTGATCCGCAAGGCAGCGGAGCGGTGTGAAAACTGCACTCCAGTGTGTCCAGTTCATCGGATCGTACGCCCTTTGGGCGGGGTCAAACGTCCTAGGTGCCTAAATGAACCGGTGGCCACTGCCGCAACCAAGGCGTGTGGTTCGTACACCTCTTTTTGGTTGGTTTAAATTTAGGGTTTTTAGCCAACTCCCCTAGGCGAACTGAAGCCTCATCACACAAGCGACTGTTGACAAGGATCCAATCGACTAATGACGCTTCCACTCGAATAAAAAGTATAACGTTTACTCCACGCTGATTTGCCGGACGAGTTTCGTCGTCGAGTGATGTGCAGAGGAAGTACATCGAGGACAAATCCGGCATAGACAAGTTGCCTATAGTATTGGGATCGTGAATTCGCGTCTCCGATATGCAACATAAATCAATCCAATAGATTCCATTCCATGTGCTAGATATACCTGTTGACCCACCTGCATCAGACTCCTCATGTTGAGCAATGAGGCTGAATAATCTGCAACCCATTTGGTGATAAACTATTTACAGCTCTATTAGGCCAGTGACGACTAAATTTTCTGAGGGAATCTTACGGGTCGGAAGAAGAGGGCATAGGAGACAAAGAATTAAGCAAAGGTTGGGTGATGTCTGGACAGTAGCTCGCTTATCAATGCAATAGGCAGCGCGGTCCTGCGAGACTACTGAAGTACTAAATTGTTTTTGTTTTGTTTTTTTGTATGCATTAGAGCCTCCTGGACAGGCATTTTAGGGCATCTGGCCACTAAACCGGAGACTGATTAGGGTTCTCGTCCAAACAATTTAGTTTTCAAAAGAACCTGACCGTGAGCGAGCTGGTTAAAACGAATTGGAAGCCCATTCTCTTGAATCCATTACTCCTCCGCCATTTTACCCACTCAGACACCAACTCAATTTGAACCCCCAACCTGGTGGACCAAAATATTCAATGTTTTCTGACCTTTCAGGCGTGATGAAAGCCATCCCGTGTAGTTCCTTGAGTTGCATAGGTGCACCAACTATCACACTTCATCGGGGTACAGTTTATGCGTGGTGACCTTCGTTTCCTCGCTGTAATTGGATAACATTACTGGCTACAGGATTCGGTACTATCGATAATCAGTTTTTAGCTACTTTTTTGCTCGTATTCATAAAAACTTAAATTGCCCGAAGCAACTTAATTCCTGCACCCAATACGATGTCGCGTCCACGTGGTTTGGTCCCGGAGCTCATAGTTAATTCACTTTCAACACATGAGGATAACACAACTATGACACCGACTGATGGCAAAAATGTACAGGGTTCTATTTACAAAATTGTTGGATAGGTAGAAATTAGGAACAGATGATGTCTTTTATATCCATGTCCAGATCGCGAAACAGGATACTGTTCACCGGTTTGGTAGGTTGCTTTGTTATCCTCTTTTTGCCCATGAGTGAACGACGGCTCTGAACAATTTTCTTACCCAAATTAATCAGCTGAGCATCCTCGACCAGGGAAATTGGCTCAACAGGTACGGTGCTCTTCACGGAGCGGCGTTTTCGACGTTCTGAATGTGGTTGGGAAACAGGTTGGAATAAATGAAAACGAGGATATTAGCTCAACGTTGAATTTTCCGAACAGTTCGATGATTACTGAAATGAAGGCGTTCGAAGCACCGCGTACGTGTATTACTTGACTTGAACAACTGCTAACTTATCGAGTCAGGAGTGATGAGTTCTACAATAATGAGAAAACTTTTGGATTACCCAAAGGGTATCCTGTGCCATCCCGTCGTAAAAAAATCTCGTGAATTTATTCCTTAAAAAGCTTGATTTCAAGCTGCTACACATATATGTGGTCCACTTAGGAGATACAAAATCAACCGACCAAGTGACCGTTTCTAGTGGCTGGAAAAATTCTACAACAATCCAGAAAACCCATTGGCGATCAGAATTAACAAGTTGGAAAATTCCTAGAAGAAACATCCAGACATACAAGAAGTTCTACATCATCGGGATATATATATATATATATATATATATATATATATATATAT